GTCTTCAAATATTTTTGCTCCACATACTCGCTACAAAAAGTTTGAAAAATGATGTACAGTCTGATATAATATGAAGCTCACATTTAAAATATGACAGTCGAAATTTAAACAGTGAGAAAAGATGCAATTTCAGCCACATTTTTAAATGTTAGTATTTCAAAATAAATTTTTAAATCACTTTTTCAAATATATTCAATGTAATCTAAATACTGTGATGATTTGATACCTCTATGATTCATTTAATAATACATGAAGTAATTTTTTCTTTAGGAGCAAAAATTTCAAATAGTTCCTTTTGTTCTTGAATATACATTTTCATTCAACTTTCCTAAAAGAATTATTTCCTAATATTATATATTTTTGCTTACAAGTGTGTTATTCATTATCATATCATAATTTCTGCAAAAAAACATATACATAAATTGAATTTTAGTTTTAAATTTCCTTTGACTCTAAATGTAATTTTTATTGAAGAATCATTATAATTATTAATGTGCAATTAAACAAAACAATATAGGTGTATTTTGAGTTTTGTGAAAATATCTATTAGTAAAATTTTTTTAGGCGTGCAACACTTGAGATAGATGGGATGCTTTTATGCTCTGTGTGTCAACAATGAATGTTACTTATTGCTAGAATAAGATAGGAGTCAGCATCAATTATTTCATTTTTGTTTGTTTTTATATATGTGAAAGTATTTGTTCACCTAAATAAGTGGAATTTAATTATAGCAATACTATTCCATTCTTTAATTTTTTTTCAGGGGTCAGGATATTGGCAGTGGCCATAAGTCAACATTAATGTTATTTTCACCTCTTTCAAAATTCGTAGCGATTCTGGGGTCAGTGATTTAGGATAGAGTCTTAAAGTCATGTGTTTAGCATACAACCTTTCAAAATCAGGCACTACTTTTGTTTTAACCATTTTAGTGCTGCCCTGTGTATCTCATGCAAAGTGAATAGTTCCACCTCAGGATCATGGTAGGTTGTTGATATGCAGCTTTTAATACATGAATATCCATGTTGTTTTTAAGTTGTTTAATCAAATAATTATGTGAAAGAAATAGAACAAAGTATTTCCAAGTGCATTTCAATAATGTTAACTACTGTAGTGTCCAAGTACCTGACTAATTTAAATTGCTAACCAGGTTTTTGCTCAGAACACAATATCGAGAGAACTTCATGGCTATTAAATTGCCCCGAATATTCAACTGGTTTGTAGGCTGGTTCCCCTCCCTGTATAATCAGTAATTATTTAGATGGGTATTTTAGCCCCATAGCTGTTTTGTATTTCTTTTTTTATTT